GGCCCCCGCCGGGCGCCCCCAGAGACCACGAGCACGTGAAGGCGGGCGCACGGCCTCTGCAGGTGCCCGGTCAGACACCAGCACTAGCTGGCGCTGCCCAGGCCCGCCAGCCCCGAGCAGGCAGCGAGCGAACAGGAACGCGCTGCAGCAAGCGGGGAGGTCGGGGCGCCACCACGCTCCGGCAGTGAGGCCGGCAGGCCTGCGCCTCGGTCCCCACCACCCCCCACACGCGCAGCACCGGCAGCCGCGTGAGGAGGGCGGCGCCTGCCCAGGGGCTGTGGCAACGCCCAGAAGCGGGGCTGCCCGAGCAACTGATGCAGCTGGGTGACACCCCGAGTAGAGACGCCAGCTGGGGCTGCTGGGCACCGCCCCTCTGCAGAGCAGCTGGGTGCCGCCGAGTGCCACCGGCGGCAGAGTCACGCAGGCCGGGGCCGCGGCAGGGTGGGAGAGGCACCGGGCTTCACGTGCAAGCGCTCCGGCCGCCAGACCGAGGCCTCTGTGGGCGCCGGGCAGGGGGTCCACGCTGCGCCGCGCCCGGGGCGGGAAGCCCACTCCAGGCCAGCGCTCTCCAGAGGGCGCCCGGCCCTCCTGGGGGCAGCCCCCCAGCCGCGGGCTCCCCGAGGACGCACACCCAAGCCCACCCTGCACGCACTCCCGCGGGCGAGCAGGGCACACGGGGCGGACTCCGTCAGGCGACTCGGTGGCCACTGCACTGCCGTCACCAGGCGGCACCCGGGTGGCCGCAGGGCGCGGGCACCCTCTGGCCCTCAGGGTGTGCAACCCGGCCTGCAGGAAGCCCGGGCGAGCGCGCCCCGCCTCCAGCAGCCCCCAGGACCACCGGCAGCCCTGCGGCCCTCGCGCCCCGTCTCCGCAGCAGGACCCGCGGCGAGAGCCCCTACACTTTGAGCTTGGTGCACTGCCCCGGCTTCAGGTCCCCCAGGAGCTGCAGGATGGTGTCCAGGAGCACGCGGCTGGAGTTCACCAGGAATTCCCGCCCGCAGGCGATGGCGGCCACATCTGCGAGACACGGGGAAGGCAGCGTCGGCGTCACGGCCACGGGGCCCAGAGGCCAGTCCGGCCGCCGCTGGGGCCGCCTGTCTCCGAACCCAACGGAAACCAACACCTGCAGCGCTACGGGCCGGCTCCGCACAGGAGGGGACGGAGCGGCCGAGAGCTGCGGTCACACAGCCGCGGCCAGAAGCGACAGCTGTGGGCAGTCACGCGGGGGGGGGGGGGCGCCAGAGACAAAATCTACTTTCTGTCCAGGGAGCAAAATCCACGTGACTGTGCCCAGCAGCTGCGCTATCGTGAGGGCCGGACACCGTGAAGGCCGACTCTGACCGGGCCAGCTAGGGCCAAGTGCCCTCGGGCCGGAGGCCCCGCAGAGCTGGGTGGACGGCAGGCCCAGGAGACCGCTGGCGCCAAGCGTGGCCGGCCCAGCCCTGCCAGAGCCCCCCGGG